CGCTGAGGAGCGCCTGGTCATTCTGCCGGGATTGAGGTCTCCCTGTTCTCCAGGCTTCCTCGATGCAATGTTCTTGATCGTGACCTCCCTTTTGCAGCCCAAAGCATACTTATCAACTCCAAACCTTTGTCCAGTAAGGGTTTGTATTCCGACCTGCGCTTTTGGCGTTGTAGGCGACTATCCCGTCTGGGGAGATCCATATCTTCCGCGACCCTGTCACAAGGATCTGTTATCGCGTTGGTGGCGTGAGCCGTGAGTGCAGTCCGTGGCAGAGGTGCAGTCCGTGTCGGAGTAGTCCGAGTCGGACCCTGAAGGAGCACCCTCGGCGGGGTCTACTGCCAGGGCAAGGATCTGATTACCTGCCGATTCATCACTGTCTGGCTGGTGGGCACCTCCTCGTTTGGGCGAATCGGATTTCCCCGCGTGGTACTCGCGATGAATGCCTTAAGGTAGTGCTTCGGAGCATGGTTCTCCCATCTCTTCGGTACGAACTCTTTCATGCTCATCAACTGGCTGGTAATCAAATCTCGTCAACAGCTCTTCACGTGGGTATGTGGTCGGATCTACGGCGCGACCCCGACCGCCACCATGGGGCCAGACCCATGGTATACTTTCGAAGTAAAGGCTTCTTGACGGACGCCTCATCGGGCAAACTGGTCCGTGGTCGGCGCAATCAAAGGAAGTGCAGACAAAACCTATGTAAATCTTCCACTCTTCGATGATGGCCATCTTGAGGCCCCGTCTCTGGAAGGGGCCCCTGTGACTTAGAGCCCGTGCCCCTGTTGGCGCGGGCGATCTTGCCATTGCCGTTCCGCTCCACATTGCAAAGTGTCTGCCAGCGGCGAATGTCATGCTCGGTCCAACCTTGGTCAAGCCAGTATTGCATCGCATCGGTAGATGTGCGCTGACGAGCTAGTCCATGATCATCGTAGCTGGCCAGGCGTTGCGAGCAATATGCCTGAGACGCGGCTGGGCGGCCCCCCCTCTGAGGTGGGTTCGCCCGCGGGCGATCCCTCCTCGGTGGGGCCCCAGGTCAACTATCCCTCCTTGACGGGGCCCTTGGTGCCTTCGTATCGGGAGGGTGAGGGCGCCGGTTGCCGCTGGAGCGAGCACCGCTGGAACGCGCGCGCGAGCGCCCGCGTGAATAGCTGCGGACGCGACCAAGGCGCTGCGTACGCTGGTCTTCAGCTTCCCACTCTTTCCCATCATCATCTAACCGTTCGCGCGTCTCCCGACTTGGCGGCATGTTGATCGCTCCTGGCAACTCGGGGACCGCCTCCTATCCGCGAATGTAACCTGATGAACTTCATTATGTCCATATTCGTACTGAATGCGTTCTGAGAGGTCGCCAGCATCTCGCGGTTCCCCCCGCAAAGGATCGTCGTCGCATGATTCAGTGTTTGTCGGATTGCCAACGACCCGAGGATGAAGCATAGCTTGTATCTCCTCTTCTGTCGCTGGAATCGCGGCTTCGGAATCCGCAGGTGCCCCCGCCATATCCTGATCTACCTCGGCGGGCATATGGACATCCTCCGCATATTTGATGCGCGCAGGTTGCCCCGCGACGGGCATGCCTTACCAGTCTGCCAGGTTGATCTCGCCATGGCCAACGTATATCTCCTCGAAAAGCTCGTCGGCGCAATTCTCGCGGGACATGCCGGCACTTCGATTTCTGGCAGTCGCGAAGTTAACGGCTTCAACTGGATTGTCGGCATGGTCGGCCAGTGATGCCCCCCAATCGACATGCTGCATGTCCGAATCGGTTTGAGCCAAATGTGCCGACGGACCTCTGCCTCCCCCATCGCCTCGAGGGCGCTCGCGGCGAAAATGTTGCGTGCTATGGCAGATGTCAATTTCTATTGTTTCGCCGTTGGCGTCTTTCGGATTGCCCCGGCGCCCCCCCCCCCCCCCCCACACACCCTTTCCTGATGCGCGCCTGCGACCCCTGCCTGCGCCCAGGAATAGTTCTTCATATTGTGGTCCAGTAAGGGATGCCAGGAAAGCTAACATACCTCTGCCATGCAATCGCCGTCGCTTGCCCTTGCCCTTGCCTCGACCTTTGTCCTTTCCCCTAAGTGCCCGTCGGATAATACGTCGCACCTTGCGATTTGGCTTCTTCATAAACCGTCTCCATCTGCGTTAATGCTCCTGGTGTCCTAGGAACAGCCACAGAGCCTGTTGTTCCTCCGTCGGATGCGCGGGCATGTCGGAGTAGTCTAGGGCATTCTTTGTGTGGTCTGACCAGTTGTCGGCGTCGGTTCCAGCGTCGAAGTCGGACTCAGCGGGTTGCCCAGTTGAACCTACAAGGGCAGTGGCTTGTGCAGGGGCCGCCGTTGCCAGCGGTCCCTGATATCTGGCCCGGGAGTCCTGCGACCCCGCAGTCGGACCACCATTTTGAACAAATAGCGCGGCGGTCTCCGTTGGTTGCGGATCGCCATTCCAGACGTTTGTGGCAGGTTGCCCTGCGTTGGCTTCAGCATGAAAGGTTTCGGTGCGGTGGCCGTGGCTGAAGATGCCACCAATATCGCCAGGGGCTCGCTCAGCGATGTGAGCATATGACCTCATGCGTTATAGCAGAGAGTCAAATTGTTGCTGGTTCCTCGGCATCGTGTGGTTCAGTGGTAATAAGAGTAATGTGCACGCGACGTCGCCACTCCTAAGGATATGAACAAACTAACCGTTAATATTTGGAAAATGGAGATGTTGAAACCTGCCGTTTCAGCCTCATATCGGGCTATCTCGAAGCGTAACCATGTCTGGTCCATCCGTTCTCCCGCATGGACTCGGGTGCGGATGAGAGCAGTACACCAGTTAAGTTGGCGTTCCTCCTCTAAGTTCTCAAACATCGTGCTAAGGAGAAACGTAATGTAGGTGACGCCATCAGTATGGCGGTCTCTCATGCTGACGCCAAACTTAATGACTGCTGGGGGAACTCTCATGGCTATGGTCCGTGCGAGGCCTCCCAGACCACGCTGCATTTGTGCAGCTTGTTGGGAAGGCGTCATATTGCCTGTGGTCACGTTGATCCAGGCATGTACCTCTCGAGCGAGTTCGCGGATAGGTACTCCTGGTCCCCGTGGGGACCGGTTGTCCTTGTGTCGTCTCCGCCACTCATGTGTCCCACCGCACACCCGATGGCAACCCATATGAAACCGAAGATAGCAACACCAATCGAGTGGCCCCGTAGGTCGTGGGCGGATGTGGTTGGCTGAGGTTTGTGGCGTTTTCTTCTAAACCTGCGTGAGGTTGTAAGCGGCGCAATATCGTATCGCATGTTGCCGTGCGTGATATCTCCGATGACGCTCCCAGCTGGAATAGGTGGGTGGACTTCAGGAGTGTAGTAGCGCAGGGAAGTAGGACTCAAGTAGGAGGCATCTGCGAGAACAGAGGTAGCAGTGCAAGCGCCCTTGCGATTGTACGTAGTTATGTACATTCCTCCGCGCGGACCCAGTGCACCCTGATGTTCCACTATGTCAGAAGTCCACCAGATAGAGCTGACCACCATAGGCCAGCTCCGCCACCAACTTTGAAAGGGGGCTGGTAGGCCCGTCCAGAAGCTACGCCTCAGGCGAAGCACAGCTCCTGCTCTGCTGTATCGTAGTAGAGGTAGTCCCAGTCGTGGTAGGTCGTCGCGGGAGCGACGGGCCATCTCAAGCGAAGGATGTTTTCGGTCTCGATGGCGAAGAGTATGCCTGGCAATGAGGCGCAATCATATGTTGGCGGCCGACCGCTTGAACACAAACGGCCGCGGACAACCGCTCGTTATCTTTCGCCCTTGTCCCAACTCACTTTAGAGTCCCCCCCCCTCCACAAAAAGGGGCGGGGGGGCTTCCTTCCGCTACACCTCCCCTCTGCCCAAACATCCAACTGCTCCACTTTCTTCGGCGCGTGGGCACTGGAGGTCCGGACCACTTCCCTAGCGTTAGGTCGGGCATGTCCCCCTACAGGCGGACTTTGGACGAACAATAGAAAATTCTTAAAACATATACAGAATTTGTTTTCGACCCCAGACTGTTTTTGATCATTTTTGAATTTTCCGCCTGTAGAGGGACAGGCCCGACTTTACCCCAGGGCCGGTTTTTACTCCCGAATTGTGTTGTTGAGTGCTCCCAGACGGCCAACGAAGCCCCCGAGAAACCTCCGAGAAACCCCCAAAGGTTCCCAACAAGTCCTGCAAGATGCCTCCAACAGGCTTCCAGGAAGCTCCCAGGAGGCCCCAAGAGATTCCCTAGGCCCTAAAGGCTCCCAAGATGCCCATTCCTCCTCCTCCTCCTCCTCCTCCTCCTCCTCCTCCTCCTGGTCTTCCCCGCTATCCTCCCACAAGTGTTCCCCGAAGGGTTTTCACAACGGGTGGGGGAACACGTGGTCCGATAGCTTGGCAGAGCTCTTGCCACAACGCTCGGCCGCATGGCCGATTCCAACAGGCGGGGGGCGGCGGTGATTCGCCGTACGCGTCTTCGATCAGAGGCATCCACCATACGCTAACGAAACAACCGTGCCACCTGCCAGTACCGTGCTCATGAGGAAATGTCATGCGTCGAACTGCGCTTCGCCAGACACTGCTATCAGAAAGTGGGATTGAACCCCACTTGATTTCGGACTAAACTTGTGCGCAGTGATACGGCCGAGGGTATGTTTCAATTCACGCCCCATCAGTCCACATGGGCCCCTGCACATCACATGTAATGTTCAGTTGCGCAGCGCGAAGATGAAATTAAGTACATGTCTTCCGAATGTTGACTTGATGCAGGGGCCCAAGGACGATGCTAGTAGCTCCTGGGTTCTGGCCAACCCAACGCTCCACGCAGAAGCTGCACACGATCAAAACTGGGAACGTGCAGGCTTACGCGGATCAATGCTAACATTTCAGCCCCATCGTGATGGAGCTGTGGGTATCCGGATGACACAAAACCCACGACTGTCGGAGGCCCAGGAGGCCTCCTGAGGCACCCGAAGTCCCCCCGGGGGCCGACCTGATGCCCTCCCCGCCGGGGCCGCGCCTTGTACTTCTGCGCGACGGCGGAGATGCAGAGCTGGATCACGGTGTCCTTGAACTGCGCGTTGCCGGAGCACTCCTCCGCCCGGGCGGGGCCGAGCAGGAGGAGGAGGAGGAGCAGGAGGAGGAGGAAAAAAAGACGAGGAGGGGGAGGAAGGAAGGAGGAGGAGGCGGAGGAGGAGGAGGACGAGGAGGGGGAGGGAGGAAGGAAGGCAGGAAGGAAGGAAGGAGGAGGAAGAGGAGAAAGGTGGAGGAGGGGAAGGAGGAGAAGGGAGGAGGAGGGGGAACAGGAGGACGAACAAGTTCCTAGACAGCGGGCGCTCTCGGAGCTCGGGCTTGCACTCGGGAGGTGGCTCGTGGCTCGCCTCGCGGCCTCAGAGAGGGGCACCCCACGGCTTTGCCTCTGGGGCCCGTTCGCCGCCTGGGCCCACCCGGCTGCCGAGCGGACCTGGGATCACAAGAAGTGGAATACAAACCAAGTGTTATCACGCTTGTTTGTTCTCACGCGTGTTTTTCTATCACATTTGTTTCTCATCACACTTGTTCGGCGCGGCTGTCGAGTGGGCCACGTTCCTGCCGCTTTTTTTTTTGATTAATCCACAAGGGGTCCGCTCAGCCCCGTCCACGTCGAAGGCAACATCGTCTGTCGGATCCATGTGCGTCGCGTGCACGCGTCGCAAATCTAACCATGTTTGGGCCAGAATGGATACGCCCAAACTTGAGGTTATAATGAAGTGGCCATCCTATTGCTCAACATGATACACGAAGCCGGCAGGCGAGCCTGGAAATGCCCCGAAAGCGGGTTCTGATGCGGGGGCCGATCTGGAATCCGCTCTTTTGTTCCACCCAGGCACGCGGCTGCTATGTTTTCGATGCGAGACGCCCTCTACTCTTGCCGGGGCGAACTATGTCAACGCATGCGCGAAAGAGCCCACCCCATCTACCCTCCGCCACCGCGTCCCCATGGCGCCCCTGCTCGCCCCCTTCTGCTCGACTCGCTTCCGAGGATCCCCAAATTCCCCGCCCTCTCTCCCCCCGCAGTCCCCCCCCCACCCCGCTCGCGCGAATGCCAGGGGCGGCAGTCGCGCCAGAGACCTCGGCAGCGACGGACGGGCATCGGAGGGCGGCGGCGGAAGCGGGCGAAAGGACGGGCGGGGGGAGGGAACGGGGTGGAGGAGGCAGAGCGAGGGAAAGGGAAAAGGGGGGGAGGAAGGAGAGCGAGGGGAGGGAACGGGGGGGGAGGAGGACGAGAGGATGAGAGGATTAGAGGTGACTGGAGGCAAGCGAAAAAGGAACGAGGGGGGGCCGCATCTCAACCGTTCGATGTTGGCGGCGCACGGGTACGCGGCGAGCGCGCGAGTAGGGCCAAGTCCATCGCCGACCTCTCACGTGAGCTGAACGAGCAACTGCGAGGAGCTCGCACCCACAACGCGATCTCGCTGTCCATGCAGACGCGCGCAACCTAGACCCGTTCGAAAATGTAGACCAACGCTGCGCGAAAACCTCTCTTCCCAGAAACGAACGCAACCACGTGCATCGCGAACTCATGCGCCGAGTGCGCGCATCTGCAAGCCTACTTCAAACATGAAACGATATTCCTCTTCTTATATGTTTATAAGCCCGGGCGGGGAGACAACCCATTACCCCCCAAAAAACTGGACTCCCGGGACCTGGGGTTATGGAAGCGGCCACCAGGCCTCGCAAGGCGTTTTGCCAAGCCTTCCCAGCACACTTAGGGCGACCAGGGGGGTCATCGGAGACGTCCCAGAAACCCCCACGACAGCACAAGAGCGCTCCAAGAGTGACCGACTTGACCTCAAGATGGCCCAAGAGGCCTCCAGGACGGCGCCAAAGAGGCCTCCAAGAGCACTCCCAAGAAGGCCCCCCCAGGCAAAAATCATTGATTTTCTGTTGGTTTTTGGTGAATTTGGAGGTTCTCCTCTTTTCGGCTTCCCGGCGTTCCAAGACGGCGGTCTTCCGGGCGTCCGAAGCCGCCTGGGAGGCTCCCAAATCGCCCCACAACCATCCGAAAGGGCTTCCAGGCAGTCCAAGAGAGCCCCAAAACGGCACAACACGGGTCCAAGATGGCCCTCAGAGAGCCCCATGGCGGCCCAAGATGGCCCAACGACGCCCTCCGAACAATTCCAAATCGTGATTCGGTCGTTCAGGGAGACGGCGGTTGGAGGCAGGGTGGCCCGAGGAAGCCCCCGGAGGCCCCCAGAATACGCCCAGGAGGCCTCCAGAAGGCCTTAAGAAAACCCGAAACAACTTTGTGGCTCTCCAAGGAGGAGCCTCCGCAAAAAAAAGAGAGCTGAGGAGGATGGGGAGAATGCGCAGGCTATGGCGAACATCAGGAACAATAAGCATGGAGGAAGGCTAACGAATGACATCATTATAGCGGCGATGCCGGAAAAAAGGCAACCAGGAGTTATTGCTAAATTGTCGGCTTGGCCTTCCTGCCATTCCGCCTGCGTTCCAAACTTGAAAGACCAAGGTGCGTAGCGCGAAGCGCCACTGCAGTCTTGTATATATATATATACATACATATATCGGCGCGCTGCCGAATCGCACATCCATCGAACGTCAGTTGGCGGATCTCGGCCCAGCCCGTCTCTCCCGAAGACGCGCCCGAACTGGGGGACATCGGAGCTCACCGAGGGCGCAGGAATCGCACGCTCAGCTTGACGATCTTCTTCTGCTTCGTCTGCTTGAGCGTGTCGGCACCCCTCTTGCGAGCCTACCTCAGGATTTGTCCCTTCGCCTTGGCCTGCTCCTTCTGAACCTTGTTCATGAAGGTGTCTGGGGCAAGGGCGGCCGAACTCGCCGCGCGCTTGTCCGACCACGTCTTGAAGTGCTCCTGAGCGTCGCTCTCCAAGTGCCGAAAGTTGGAGACGAGGCTCTCGTGAACCCACGGGCCTTTCTTCTCCCCCTTCTTGCAGAAACACTTGGGCAATGCGTCGGGCACGCACGGGAACGCGAGCTGAGCCTGCACGTCGTCGAAGTTGTCCTTCAAGCCCCAAGCGAACGCGATGTCCGTGTGCTCGGGCACCTCGGCCATGTCGCCGTTGAAATGCTTCACCTGTGCCAGCTTCCCAGCATCGTTGAACTTCAGCGCGCAACATCAAACCTTCATGTATTTGATTGTGTCATCACTACTCAAGCCTCCGTGAGCAACGAAGGCCGGCAAGCGATTCCCATAGTGTGCGATGCGGCCGTCGTGGTAAGACTGCCACGCGTCGGCGTTCCTGAACTCTTTCGGGAGCTTCCCCAGGGACAGGATCTGGAGAGCGAAGGGGACGAACTCTCTGTAGTTGTCCTTATGGGCGGCCAGCTTGATCACATAATCGTCCGTGCGATCGCTGTTCTTCATGATCACGCTAACCGTCGCCGAAACGTCCATGGAGGCCAAAGTATCAGCCTTGTCGAACATCCTCGCACCCTCGATCGCTCCCTCCTGCCTGCGGATCCGCAGCTGCTCCTGATACTTCCCATAGAGCGGCATGATGAGCGAACGATCGCGCAGGCAACCGTCCACCGTCGCCATCAAGCGCTCGTGGATCGTAGCCGCTTCGGCGTCCTTGCTGGTCCCCTCCTTATTCGGCGTCGGGGACCTCATCACCGCGAGAGAGAAGTCTCCACCCGATTGGGCGGAACTGCCGCGCGCGAGCCTCTTGGGGCTCGCCTTCTTCACAGGAATCACAAGCATGGTGGCGCCTGGAAAAGGAAACTCGGACTCCTCAGGAAGCGCGCCTTGAAACACAATGGCTAAGGACATTACACACGGAAACGAGATCATGGGGAACGATACAACACCCCCCAAAAAACATATTCTGAGTGAGCGACACATCATCGCCGACAGGAGCAATAGTGGTCAAACACCATATGTCAATCAAAACTCGTTCACATACCCCTAAACATGGCGAGCCACAACCCGTGAAACATATGTTGTGTTGGGTCTCCTTGGCCACGAAGAAAATGTGCCCCCTAAGACACCCGCCCCGATCCTCCTCCCCTGCTCCATCGAGATGCACCCGCCAGGGCCCCCTCTCCGAATTTGTGACGGCCCCCCCCGCCCCTGCCGTAGCTCGGTCTACCTGGGAGAGGGCCGAAGAGGGTGATGAGGAAGAGCAGAGGGATGAGGATAAGGAGAAGGATTCGGAGGATGAGGTTTCCCTTTTGCGACCTATAACGAACATCCAGCCTACTTGTGGTAATAGTTTCTTGTTGTGCTCGGATGTGCTCGGATGTGGGTCACCGTGAAAAGTCGCGTTGCTAGGAGTGTTCCGTGCCGCATGGGGTAATCGAGTGAAAACGCGGCGTAGGTCAGTAGGCTGTTGGGGCCCGTGTCTCAGTAGGCTGTTGGGGCCCGTGCCCCAATTATACATAGTCTCGGGGTCGTCGATCTTGGCGATGGTCTGTGGTATTATTCGGTGGACATGGATATTTTGATCATGGGTGTTCTTTTCCCAATGGATGCTGCTGATGGTGCCGGTTCAGCGCGCGATAGCATCCTGTTGGTGGTCTTCACTGGACGATCCTAATCTTATTCCGACGCGTGGTTCCTTGAAGGGCGTGGTGGCTGCTAGTCGCTAGTCTAGTCTCCATTTGTGCTTGGTCGGCGCCTGCACCTTCATAAGTGGCGCGTTGCTGCGGCTCGGTGCCTTTGGCCTGTCGTGTGGATGTGGTGATGAGTTTGGAGGAGGCTTGGATGGCAGCCCCTGGTAAGATAGTGTGGTCGGTCTGGGTCTGACTCCCACGAGCCCCAAGATCCTGTCGTCCGCTAGCCGTCTAGGCCTGGCTCCCACGAACCCCAAATTCCTGTCGTCCGCTTGCCCATGGGGCCCTGGCTTGGTTGCAGCCGCTAGTGGCACTGCGTCGCTCTGTGGGGGCGGTGTCCTCCTCCTCGTCCTCCTCCTCCTCGTCCTCCTCCCCCCCCCACTCCTTCCCAGCGGCTCTCTCGTCACCCAAACAGGACCACCACAAAAGGAGAAGGGGGGGTAGGAGGAGGGGAGGGGGGATCAGGACAGGCGCCCCCGCCAGCGCGCTGAAAAGGTGGACGCCAACGCGGCGGCCTTGCCCACACCCTGAAATCGAGGAGGGCCTCCTCCTCCTCCACCTCCTCCTCCTCCTTCCCTCCCCTCTGCTCCTTGTTCTCCACCCCACAAAACAACAAATGACTGCAAATTGTTCAGGCGCTCTGGGTGCGCTTCCCGTGGCCGCCTCGCAGACTGGCCTAAACTCAGAGGGCTATGGTCCTCCCTCCTGCCAGCACGCGCTCGCGCAGGAGCAACGGAAGGAAGAGAAATACAGAACGCTGCCTAACAAATCCCTCGCAAAGCATCCCCTTCCGTGACGTCGTCCTCGCCGTTCAAGCCACCCTTTGGCCGCATACAGACGTCGTGGGGCGAGGCAAGGTGGACGTCACAGAAGGGGATGGCTTGCTAGGGGTCGGTTAGGCCGCCCCTGCAGGAATAGACACGAATGTTCCACTACGCGCAAAAAGTAATTACTCGCAAATGGACTGGATTCGCCGCGGGGGATCTGCGATCCACGACATCGGGGCAAACATGTGTTTGTCGGACGTGTGCGAGCAGGCACTCTGCAGGTCGTGGAGCGCGCATGGCGAAGGAACGGCGGCACTGCCCGACCGCGCCGCTCCACCTCGAGGCGTCAGGGCTGCCGCGGGAGACGCCGGGGCCCTCTTCGCCCCAGGGCGCCGGGACCTGGCGCGATCCTCCGACCCCATCTCTGGCGGCGCGCACACGGGGCGACGGGGGAGGGGGGAAGGCTCCTTAGAAGGAGGCTGCTTCTCGGATGGCGCTGGAACTGCATCTGTAGCCAAGGCCCGCGCCTTTCTAAGAAGCGGGGGTGCTTCTAAGACGCATTCCCACCTCTCCCCCCCCCCCCCTCTGCGCGTGGCCGACATCCATTCGGACCCCAAGTGGGAAACCTGGATCTCTGGGGGTGCGAACACGGCAAGGCTGTGATGCGTGGCTGCGAGGGAAGAGCAGCTTTATCGGCACCTCTTCTCCCTCTGAAGCTCCCTCCGACTCGGGCGCCGCCTCATGGGGAGCACTTTTAATTCGCGGTGATAACGGGCGTCATGGTGGTGGGGAAGGGGGGGGGGCTGGGAGGAATCATAAGTAACGTAGCGCCCTCGCCACCCCCCGTGACAGGCTGTGGTGCCAGACGCACTGCGGCAGTGCTGGGGACGCAGTGGTGTGGGGGGGGGGAGCGTTGCGTTATGAGGGGGGGCATAACGCGAGCCAAGCCCAGAGCGCCAGTTGTGGGTGTGGGGGGGAGCGCCACGTTATGGGGCGTTACGCTGTAGCGGGGGGGGGCCTCGTCATGGGGGGGGGGGAGGGGGGGGGGCATAGCGCGAGTTGTGGGCCAGAGGGTCCTTACGAGAAACGCCCTCGAGGGGCGGCAGTGACGTGCGGGCGTGCAGAAACATGGCACGCGCCGCACAGCATCCCGAGGCCCCAGAGGGGGCTCCTCTCCTGGCAGCCCTCGAGCCACCCGTCCGGGCCCCCTATACGATACGCCAGGCTGGCAGGGGCCCCGGGCCGCGCACGGACAGCCTCCCCCCGAGCTCGTCCCGGCTGGCCTCCACGGCCCCTGACACGAAGCCGGGACGAGGATGCAGTCGGGTGCGCACATGCCTCGAGATGCTCCGAGACCCAGCGGATCTGGAGAGGGTGCCTCGGGCGCCGCGGCCTCCTCGGAGGCCCTGCAAAACGCTCTGCGAGCGCTCCGGGAGACGCTCTGCACGGAGTCTGTCACAGGGCCGAACCTGAACGGTGTTTTTCGTCTTCGTTTTGTCTCCGTGTTGTCTTCCGTCCACCTCTATACTGCAAACCGAAGTCGACACGAAGACGGCCCACGACATCGCCAAAACGCCGTGCTTAGGCCCAGCCCTGGTCTGTCCGTCCGTCCTCGCCCGGGCCACGGCCGGGCCCCGGCCCCCGAGTGGCCCCCGCCTGCTGGCCTCGGCAGGCCCCCCGAGGGGCCCATACAGGGCGGCCTCGGGGCCCCGGCGCCGCCTCCGGCGGCGCCTCTCTGGGGGCGCCCGCCGCGCCGGCGGAGGTGCCGAGGCCGCCCGCGGGCTGCGCGGGGGGCCGCGTCGGGGCCGCGTCGGTCCGTGCGCAGTGCAGGTGCCGCCGGCTCTCAGGCAGCAGCGGCGGGGTGGGGGGAGAGGACGGGGCTCCCTGGGGGGCGAAGCGGGCCCCGAGAGGAGGGCTCCTGGGGTGGGGGGAGAGGATAGGGCTCCCTGGGGGGGGGAGGGCTCCTTGGGTGGGGGGAGAGGATAGGGCTCCCTGGGGGGGGGGAGGGGGGCCCCGAGGTTCCGAGGGGGGGGTGGGGAGGGAGGGAGCGCGGCGGGAGCGGGGGAGGAATGAGGGAGGGAGGACGAGGGCAAGAAGGGGGGAGGAGGGAGGAAGGGGGGGGACGGGGGGAGGAAGGGAGGGAGGGAGGGAGGGGAGGGAGGGAGGGGGGGGAGGGGGCAAGAAGGGGGGAGGGAGGGAGGAAGGGGGAGGAAGGACGGGGGGGAGGGGGCGAGGAGGGAGGGCCCCCAGGGGAGGGGTCCAGGAGGCGGCAGAGGACGGGAGGGAGGGGGCACGCAGGGGAGCGCCATGCAGGAGGGAGGCGGCGGTCAAGCAGACCAGACAAGCGCGTTCCACGACTGGCAAAATAACTACTCGCAAATGGCCTGGATCCGCCGAGGGGATTTACGATACAGTATATACATCGATGCAGACGTGTGCTTCCTGGACGTTTGCGAATAGGCACTTTGCGAGTGGTGAAACGCTCTCGGTGACAGACGCGAGAGCGGTGGGGTCGTCCTCCACGACCTTGGGGTTCGCGACCAAGTCGTATGTCACGCAAGGCTCATTCTTTTTGTCGAAATCCTGCCAGCACAATGCTGCAGGAACATATATCAATATTACAATTCCGAGGCCCACGCAGATGGAGCACGCGACATAGAGGTGGCCAACAAACGACAAACAGTCTCCGGTCTTCTAAGAAGACCGCGTGACCTGGGGCAGAGCACCCTTTCCACCTCCGCCAGCTCTTCCTCGCCTTCGCCCTCCTCACCCTCCTCCTCTCCTGCACCACGCGCCTTCGCACAACGCTGCAGCTGCAGACCACGATTACGCAGCAAATGCGTTGAGTTCGACTGTGAGAGTTCTCTACCATACGCGCAATCGGCCCTGCATGACATGACTGACCATGCTTCATGAACTAGCATGCGTGCACACTTGCTCGAACACCATGCGCTTGAGTACAAGTTTGCTCTGGACAAATCACCAGCAAATGCACGAGTCCAGTCCAGATGCCCCCCTGTAAGTCTCACCAGCCCCCTTCTGGAGCACCCCCTTCTTCCCCCTGGATGGACGGGTCCAAGTGTTAGGTAGGGCATGTCCCCCTACAGGGGGATGTTTGACGAAAGTCCCAAGATACCCAAAACATACTCAAACAAAGTTAAGCAATAGTCGAAACATCGTCCCCAGACTACTTTTTGCCTATTTTTGAATATTCCTCCTGTAGAGTGACATGCCCGACTTAATCCAAATGGCCACGGAGCCTCTCAAGGACGCCCCAAGATTCAAAATCCTCCCCAAACCTGCAAGGTACAATTCTCTGGCCCTTTCGCCTCCCATGGGCCCTCGAGGCCTCAAGATGGCTCCAGCATGGCCTCAGAGAGCCCCAAGAGGGAATGCACGGGGCTCCAAGAGCACCACAATGGCGCCCCGAGAGCGCCTCGGGATCCAGAAGTGCAACGCTTTCAAGGGACCCCCTATCTTTGATCGATGTCGTCTCAGACGGCCCCAGGAGGCCCCCCCCAGGGCCCCCAAGAGGACTCCCAACAGGACCCCAATAGAGCGCGAAAATGGCCCCAAGCTACCAGCCTGGGACATATCCCTATCCCTAAGATTGACACGCCCAAAAGCGATGACAATCTTAGGGATTCGCCCTCAAAAAACTAAGGGAATCCCCAAGATTGGCATCGTGATGAGGTGCCCAGCATAGGGATAGGGACATGTTCCAGGCTGGTAACCAAGGTGACCCAGGTAAGTGACCAAGAGGATCATCCCGATATAACGATCCGAGATAGAACGTATGGCTGACTCCCGGGTCTGACCAGGCTGACCTCGAGCTTCGGTTTGGCAGCTGCCCCCCCTCTGATACCCTGCCTGCTCGGGGGCCTGCAGGATTACTCGAAACAAATCGCCTGAGCATGGCTTCTGGATGGGCAGGTGGGGATGCGATTTTTTGGGGGGAGGGGCTTCACGCCGCCACCTCCAGATCCCAGCCGAGGCTGGGAACAAGCTCGAATGCTACGGAGGGAGGAGCATCCGAGTGCAAAAGGCTCAAGCTGCTACCTGCGCGAGACTGCGCAACGCGAAGCTAGCAGAGGTGGGGATGCGAGACGTGTCAAGGAGTTGTGAATGTGCACGGTCCAATTGCAGTGCAGCAATGCCGATCCTGGTCCGCCCGACCCGCCCGCACCTGAGAATCATTTATCCGACCCCCCCCCAGCGGCGTGGCCTGGGCCCAACTGGCCGATTTACCCCCCTAGATAGGGACATAGGCCGTTCCCTTTGGGTTTTGAGAGGTGTATCCCCAACTGGGGTGGTAATTTGGTGGAGGTCTCGAGGGGGATGGGGATGGGGATGGGGATCGGATAAACGGTACTGAGCACCCATCGGTCGGAAGAAGCAGGCAGAACCATTAAGTTGGAAGGCGTTGGAAGTAGATTGGGTCTCCGCCCGCCCACTGAGGAGGGAGGAGGGGGAGCCGCTCGATCATTCAAGTAGGAAGTCGCCTAGTAGATTGGAACCTGAGATTCCCGAAAAACTACCGTTCAACGACCGATGGTCAAGGGTCCGCCCGCCGGTCGGAGGCCCTGGGGTTGACACCAACACCAAGATCGGCGGTGTCTCTACCGAGGGGGGGTGTTCCCGATCTCGGCGATGGTGGTAACACACATCCGGGCTCCCGAGGTGGCCGCACCAGTACCACCAGCACCAGGACCGAGGATCGTCCTGCCCCCGAGGAGGCAGCCCCCCCATGCTGGTGCCGGTGCCCGTGCCCGGGCCTCCGGTGAGGGCCCGCCCGCCCCGCAGGCATGCCCCGGCGGTGGAGAGGGCCCCTCCCCGCCCGCTGGCTCGACCACGGGCCCGCCGGCCTCCGTGCGCCCCGCCCGCGCCCCCGCTCTGCGTGTCCGCGAGCGGGGGCCGACCGTCCCGGCAGTCCCGTTGGCTTTCCACGAGCTTCTCGTAGAGCCCAAGGGTGTTCCGAGACCCCCACAAAACTGTGTTCTTAGAGCATAACCCCGACGTGTCAAAACGAGACAGCCTCAACCATGATTGTGCTACGACCAGTTCTCGGGGAGACATCAGACTCGGGCACGGGGGACTCGGGTTGGCCTGACGGGGCCATCATGAAACATTTGGCGCGAACTCCCGCTGCAAGCATCCCACGAAAACTGAACCGTCAAACTCCAGGTCGTCAGAAAGCGTCGGCAAACCCGAGTTCCAGCTTAGTCGAGTCTTACGTTTCCCCGACTATAGGCCTACCACGAATTTTTCTGAGAGCTCCACAACATTCTAATCACAAACAACAACACATGTTCTGATAACATAAGCCTGATGCGTTATACAACAAAACATTATCAGCCGTGATTGCTCTAAGAATATGTCGTGCAGAACGTACAATGTTCTCAGCAATATTCTGGTGGGCCTATTGGGAAACCACTGCTCGATGTCCCGCCCGTCAGGACCCGCCCGCCCGCCGGACCCGCCCGCCCGCCCCGGCCTTCGGTCGGGCATGCCCCCCTACAAGACTGATTTGGGACAAGAAGTCAACAATACCCCGAAACTACTTCAAACATATTCCAAAAACATTCAAACATCGTCCCCAGACAACCACTGGACCATCTCTGAACACTTCTCCAACAACTGGACACGCCCGACGTACACCCGGCCTTCCGGGGTCGCTGCTGCCCACCCCGCTCGCTGGACTCCCGCACGCTCGGTGGCGTGAGAGCCCGCCCGCTTCCGTGCCCCCACCCGCCTCGGCCCGCCCGCCCGGCTCCCAGGCGCCCCGCCCCGCCAGCCTCGCTCTGCCAGCTCGCTCGCTCGAACGCCGCCCCGCCTGCGAGAATGGAGGAGGAGGGGGAGAAGGATGAGGAGGAGGAGGGGGACGAGGAGGAGGAGGAGGAGGAGGAAAGGAGGAGGAGGAGGAGGAGGAGGAGGAGGAGGAGGAGGAAAGGAGGAGGAGGAGAAGGAGGAGGAGGAGGAGGAGGAGGAGGAGGAAAGGAGGAGGAGGAGGAGGAGGAGGAGGAGGAGGAGGAGGAGGAAAGGAGGAGGAGGAGAGGAGGAGAGGAGGAGGAGGAAAGGAGGAGGAGGAGGAGGAGGAGGAGGAGGAGGAGGAGGAGGGGAAAGGAGGAGGAGGGGGAGGGGGAGGAGGAGGAGGAGGAGGAGGAGGAGGAGGAGGAGGAGGAGGAGGAGGAGGAGGAGGAGGAGGAGGAGGAGGAGGAGGAGGAGGAGGAGGAAAGGAGCAGGAGGAGGAGCAGGACGTCGAGGAGGACCTCCTCCCGATCCGCCCGTCGGGGCCCGCGCGCCCAGTCAGCAGTCAGGATCCGCCGTGGCCCAGCCCGCTCCCCGGGGTGCGCCCGCTCGCTGGCCCCGCCACGCCCGCCACAGGGGTGGCCCCGCCAGGCCCGCTGGCGAAGGCCTGCGCGAGGGCCCTCCCAGCCTCCTCCTCCTCCTCCCAGCCTCCTCCTCCTGCTCCTGTTCCTCCTCCTGCGCCTGCTCTCTCCCGCCACGCCTTCCTCCTCCTCCTCCTCCTCCTCCTGCTCCTGCTCTCTCCCGCCACGCCTTCCTCCGAACTCCTGCCCCCCCTCCGCCTGCCGCCGCCGCTTCGCCTGCCCCCCCCCCCCGCTTCTCCAACCCGCCCTCGGGGACGCACCGACCCGGGTCCACGCAGACCCGGGCCAATCAGGCCTTGCATTAGGTCGGGCATGTCCCCCTACAGGCGGATTTTGGAGACGAAGGATAACAAATTGTCAAGCACATGCTCGAAACATGTGCGAAAATACTGAATTAGCCTGGCGAACGACCCAACCATATGCAGCTGTGAATACCGCAGTCGTGACTATCATGTTCGATGGGGCTCCCTATGGGGCCACGATCCTCGTGAGGGGTGCGCCGAACTGGCCCGAGGCCGCCATGCGAACTTTCCCACTGGGGCCTTCGGTGGGGCTCCATCTAGGAGGAGTCGGCTTGCGGGGGGGGTCGGGCGCGCGGGGGGCGGGCGGAGGCGTCGCCGGCGCCCCGCGCCCCCGGGGGGCTCCATGTTGGATTTCCCAGGCTGCGCCAAGTGCGCGCACGCGTTACTTGCCCGCGCGCTCACATTCGCGCAAGCGCATCCTAAGAAACTACGGTCTGGATCGGAAGCGGGCGAGAGCGGGCAAGGGGCGCCTGTCAACGCTGCTTCTGGGAAGCGATTGCTGCTGGCTCGACGCGCGCGATATGCATGTGACGACTTTTGGAGGACGGGCGCTGCGCCGTCCAATCCAACGCGGCAATGGCGCGGCCCGGGGCGCGCGGCCGTCGCGGCGCACGGCGGTCGACGTGATCGCATGGGGCGCGCGATCGGCCGCGCGGTATTTGCGGGCCATTCGGCCGACGCTGCCAGGTCGCCCTCAAACAGCCCGCCAGGAATACGCAAATGGGCAATGCGCCAGCGCGCCGCCAGGATATCGCCCTGAAAAACAACCTGTTCACTCTGAGCGCCGAGTGCGCGCCTCGCTGAACCAGCGAAGTCGCGCGGAGCGCCCGCGTCGCGGACCCGCCGCAATGAACTCGCGGGAAAAAGGCATCTCCCCATGGGTTCTGGCACC